CCGTTGGAAATTCCGGTTTGGAAATGGGATTGCATTTCTATGGACTTTGTTACAGGATTGCCAAATACGGCGAGAGGTTTTGATGCTATATGGGTGATTGTGGATCGGTTAACGAAGTCTGCACACTTTGTGCCAATTAATATTAGTTTTCCGTTGACGAAGCTGGCGGAGATTTATATTCGGGTAATTGTGAAGTTACATGGTGTTCCATCCAGTATTGTGTCGGATAGAGATCCGAGGTTTACTTCAGAATTTTGGAAGAGCTTGCAAGAAGCTTTGGGTACTAAGTTGAAATTAAGTTCAGCTTATCATCCACAAACTGATGGTCAATCGGAAAGGACTATTCAGTCGCTTGAGGATTTATTAAGAGCTTGTGTATTGGAAAAGGGTGGTGCGTGGGACACTCATTTATCATTGATTGAATTCACGTACAATAATAGTTACCATTCGAGTATTGGAATGGCACCCTTTGAAGCTTTGTATGGGAGGAGGTGTAGGACTCCTCTGTGTTGGTATGAGACCGGTGAGAGTGTGGTGCTTGGAGCAGAAATTGTTCAGCAGACTACTGAGACGATTCAGATGATTCGTGAGAAAATGAAAGTGTCTCAGAGTAGGCAGAAGAGTTATCATGATAATCGGAGGAAAGAGTTGGAATTCTGTGTAGGTGATCACGTATTCCTAAGAGTTAACCCGATGACTGGTGTGGGTCGGGCGTTGAAGTCCAAGAAGCTGGATCCTAAGTTTATTGGACCTTATGAAATTTTGCAAAGAGTTGGTGCTGTGGCCTATAGGGTGGCGTTGCCGCCGGAGTTGTCGAATCTACATGATGTGTTTCATGTGTCGCAATTGCGAAAATATGTTTCTGATCCATCTCATGTGATTCAGAGAGATGATGTTCAGGTTCGGGAGAATCTTACTATTGAGACGATGCCGTTGAGGATCGAGGACCGTAAGATGAAACAGCTCCGAGGGAAAGAGATACCTTTGGTGAAGGTAGCTTGGGGAGGTGCTGCAGGAGGCAGTGTGACCTGGGAGTTGGAAAGCAGGATGCGAGAAGCGTATCCGGAGCTATTTCCATCAGGTAATTTTCGAGGACGAAAATAATTAAAGTGGGGGAGAGTTGTAACACCCATTTTAATTATTTAGTCACTTTATTATTATTTTAAAAATTATATGTTGGTGTGCCCTTTGGTGGGGGTGTATTTGATGATGTTTGGTGGGTGTCCCTAATGTGGGAGGACTATTGGTGATATTTTGGTGTGAAATATAGTAATATAAAAATAATAGTAACATTGGTGGGGGTGTTATTATTATTATTATATTTATTATATTTGTTACTATTATTAATATTATTATTATTTTGGTGAAATAATAATATTAGTATTATTATATTATTATTATATTATTTTTATTAATATTATTATTATTATTGGTGTGATAATATTATTATTATTATAATTATAATTATTGTTGGGTGTATCACTATTATTATTATTATGTTGAATATTACTATAATATTATAATAGTATTATATTATATTATATTATTATTATTATTATAATGATTATTATAATTATTATTATTAGAATTATTATTGGGAATATTAGTGGTTGGAATAAGTAAAATAAGAGGTGAAAGGGTTATTGGGAAGTTAGAATGGAAATATGAAAAGTCACGATAGAAACCGTGAGGAAGGAAATATGAAGGGGTAGCAAGGAGATATTAGAAAAGTTGGAATGGAGAGGAAAGGGATTACCATAGGCGTGGGATATTGGTGTGATAATAATAATAGTATTATTATTATTATTATTACTATTATTATTATTAGTGTTATTATTATTATTATTATTAAAAGTATTATTATGATTATTGGAGAGATAATAATATTATTATTATTGTTATTATTAATAGTATTATTATTATTAAGATTATTATTATTATTATCATTATTATTATTATTAGAATTATTAATATTATTATTATTATTATTATTATTATTATTATTATTATTATTATTATTATTATTATTATTATTAATATGTGGTATTATTAATATTAGTAAGATTATATTAGTATTATTATTATTATTAAGATTATTAATATTATATTATTTTATTAGTTATTATTATTGGGATTAGAATAATTAAAAAGGGAAATAGAATATGAGGGGTTAGGAGAGTTACGATACATTTTAGAAAATTGAGAAAAAAGAGCGATAGAAAGAGAGAAGAGGAAAGAACGAGGAAAGTGAAAAAGAACGAAGGAAAAAGGGAACGAAGAACGGAAGAGGAAGGAGAAGGCCAAGAGACCAATTCTAGGAGGAATTCTATCGATCGACCAATTGTCAAGGTAAGGGGGGAGAAATTTGATTGGGAATGGTTTATACATGTATAGGGTAGAGGGGATTCCTTAACCCCGTAGGAATTTATCGTTATATAAAGTTTTATATTGGCATGCTATGATTATTGTTGATGTTGGGGGATTGATGAATGCTGATGATGCATTTTGGGGTATATATATATATGGTGATGATGTTACTGTAGTATTGATCCATTTTGTTGGATTGTTGATGTTACTGTAGTGTTGATAGTAACTAGGAATATAAAGCTGATGAGATTATGTGTTGTTACCGTAGTGTTGGCAATGACCGTGATTATAGCTTTGGGAAAAGTTATGTGTTGTTTCCCTATAGCGTCGTTAATGACTATGGTTAGGACCTTGGTGAGATTCAGAGTGACTCTGAAATGTCGGTAATGTACCGTAATGTCGGTTCTAGAGTAGAAATTATAGGATAATTGGTAAGTATAATATCTATTGGCATGTTTGTGATTGTGGATTGATGTTGATGAATTATTGATTTTGGTGTATAGGCTGAGGTGTTGGTTTAGGGAGGTTCTGAGTAACCTCAGAGACTTTTGGTGAGATGTCTGAATTGGTCTCGTGTGATCCTTCTAGCCTTGCTGTAGTGTGAAAATGATGAGTATGGGATATAACTTGTGTACTTGGGGATAGTACGCGTTTCCCTTAATATTGTTGGTGAGCAATTAGTAATGTATATGTGTGTAGTGATCAGTAGGATCGTGTATCCCCGAGTGGGGGGGGACGTAGTTATATCCGGTGTGATAGTATGAATTCGTTTACTATCTGATTGATTTATATGGTGTTGGTGTAATATATCTATACATATGCATTGTTGTATGATGATATGATCAGGAGGATCGTGTGCACTTAGCGTGCCAGAATATAATAATTATGCATTGGTGTCTTGCATATCATGGTGTTTTGGTGGGATGAATCATGTCTCAGGAGGAGCGTAAGTGATTCATCCGTACTCCTTTGTGGAGAATGGTGGGGGATAGATCATGTCTCAGGAGGAGCGTAAGTGATCTATCCAGGTTCGATTGAATGAACCAATGAGTCGGTACCGCATGCATGGTGTTGAGTTGCATAATTGCATTATAATATGTTATATTGTAATTTGAACAGTAGGTTCGTTATATGGTGTTGTTGGGGTGAATAATTGATGTGTTGGTGTGTTTTACTGCCTTATTACATGTATTACATTACCATTATATTTTTGATCATGATTTCTCACCCCTTGTTATTGTTGTGGTCTGTGCTTCTTCGGAAGTACAGATAATCCAGGTGCTTAGCTAGCTTGGATATTGGTGTGACTGTCGAGTCTAGGATGCTCTGATACGTAGCACGGGACTTGGGCATTTTTATTGTTTCATGTTGAACTCCTATTTTTTTCCTGCGAACGTATCAAAATTTTTATTTAATTGTATTATTTAAATATTCCGCTGTATTTGGAGAAAAACCTTTTTATAAGGAAACGTGATTTTTATGTGATATCCCACTTGGGAAGGAAACTCTGATTTTTATTATGTTATTCATATTTTATTTGTTTTGGGAAGTGGGGTGTTACAGTTTCCATCTTCTTTTTTGATCCAGTCAATTTTTGCCCTTTGCTGCAGAATTTTCCATTCCATCTCATTCATGGTAATCACTTCCTCTGTCAGCTTTTTTGTTTCCTCAATTAGTGTGTTGTTCAATCTGTCCTCATTCAGCTTCCCTTGAGTTTCTTTAAGCTTTTCCCTAGCTGCTATCAACTTGTTCTTAATATCAGTCAAAGGTTTACTGAGCTGTTTTAGATCATGTTTCAGTCTTCGGAGTTTATGCCAGAACATACATTGGTCTGCCCCTGATATGAGCATCCCAGTTCTTCTTTATCACAGTCTTATAACCTGGAAACTCAGTAATGTAGTTGCTAAACATGAAGTGTTTGAAAGGTTTCCTTTGCATATGTTTATCCTCCAGATAAAGCATGGCATGGTCAGAGATACTAGGTGGGAGGATTTTCAGCATATTATCCATATTGTTGAGAAACCAATCAGTATTACCCAAAATTCTGTCAATCCTGGAATAGATTGGTCCAACTGCGTGTTTGTTGGACCATGTGAAATGGTCACCAATGTTATCCATTTCACTCAGCCCTGTATTTCCCATCATGTGTTATAAATCTTCATACTCCTTTTCAGTCACTAGGTTACCTCTTATTTTGTCCTGGGCTTTGGTTACATTATTGTAATCTCCAACAGCACACCAAGGACCTTGGATGTTGGCAGACAGGTGTTCCATCTCTTTCCAAAGGATTCTTCTCTTGTTGATTTGGTTGTGAGCATAAATAGCAGTTAACCAATATTTGAAACCTCCAATGCTGTCATAGACACCACAATGTATATATTGGCTGCTGCTTTGACTGAATCTCACATCCACCCTGTTGTTATCCCAGTGAATCTAAATTCTACCATTAGTATGGTCTTTATAGTTATCAATTTTCTTGTCATATGTCATCAGTTTCTCACGAACGACCTTGGCTTTTGCTTCTTTAACTCTAGTTTCAATTAAAATGATGATAGCAGGCTTAAGCTCTTGGAGACAGGACCTAATCTCACGAATTTTGCCTACTTTATTGAGTCCCCTTATGTTCCACGAGACTAACATGGGTCAAGGTTTATTGCCCCTTGGTGGTCATTCATAACCCCAAGAGCTTCAAAACCATTGTTACAGCTGATGTTTCTATTAGTATCAACAATTATGCTCTTACCTTTATCTCTTACAGATTTTGTCCCTCTTTTCCATGATTCACCAACTTGCCATGTTGCTTCCTCTGTTTCTGATTGTTCGGAGGGTGTGATGTTCTTGGATGCTTCAGGTGGCTTGGGTTTTGGTTTCCATTGTTGAGTCTGCCACCGGTCTTCACATGTATACCCTAGTTTTTGACAAGTTTCGCAGAAAGTTGGCCTCCATTCGTATTTCATAGGCTGCATTATTACATCCCCCTCCATATTTCTTATGGCTATTTCGTCAGTCAATTGTTGTGTAATGTCCACTTCAATCAGTAGCCTTGCATAAGATACACGGAGCTTGTTCGTCGTGCATTCATCAGTCACCAAGGGTTTACCTATGGCACTACCAATCTTGCTCAAACTTTTTGCTCCCCATAGCTGCAAGGGAAGTTGGGGGAGTTTTACCCAAATTGGGAGCGTTCTTAGCAGGTCCTTCTTTAGGTTGAACCCTGATTGCCATTCCTTCAGTATCATGGGCATATTTCGAATCGTGTACGGACCTTTCATCATCAAAGTTTCCTTGTCTTTCTGGGAATTGAATCTGAGCAGAAAGTACCCGTCGTCATGGTAATAAAGATCTGGTATTTTCACAAAATTCCACATTCTCTGCATGAAATTCTTCACCATGTTCATACTTAAATCACCTCCTACGACATAAAGAATTAGGGCATTATCCCAAAAGCGTATTTCTGTTTCGATATCTTCTTGTTCAATAGCAATCTCAATCATTCCGTTGACTACTTTTGGTGCGACGTATTCCATTGTCAGTCCCTTAGAAGGATTCCGGTTGTCATTTATAATTTCTACCCATAGTTTTTGATCCTCCGGTTGAGCTTGTGGCGTTTCTATTCCAGGTTCTCTAGTTGCATCTTCGATTGTGGGTGTCGTTTCTTTCTCAGCTGAGGTTATCGTCTCTTTCTCAGCTTTTGATCCAAACTCAGGCGCCTTCAAGTTAGAGTTAGATGGTATTGTAGTTCTTGAAACATTCTGAGGAGTCTTCAAACTGGCAATTGAATCCGATGGTGGTGGCGGTGGCACCGTGGATTTCGGACGCCCTCGCCCTTTCTTCATCATCTTCTCTAAAAATATATTTAATTATTATATATTTAAAGTTGTATTTTATTCTAAAAATATCTATATATTTTTTAAATACATATTTAATATATTAATGTTTTCAAGATAAATATATTTTTTTCTTAAAAATTTATATACTTTCTAAATATATTTTAACTTAGAAATTATATACTTTTATAATATTCTTCATATTTTCTATAAATATATTACATAGTTTTTAAATAAAAAGTATATATTAATATATAATATGTTCTTTTATAAAAATATATAATATGTTTTTTAAACTAACTTTAAAATTTTATATACAATAAAGTATATAAACAATATTATTTTTCATATTTATATACAAAATAATATAAACATATTGTTTGTTTTTTAAACTAACTTTAAAATTTTATATAATATTGAGCTTGATTATTTAATTTATAATTATAATGCATACGTATAAATTATGGGTCATTCATTTGTAGTCTCTTAACTTAGTTTCTTAGAGGTTAAGAAACCAAAATTTTGGTGATGGAGAAGAAGAAAAATATAGAAATTTTTTGCATCTATTTTACCATAATACAATGTGATTATGGTTAACACAAATAACATTGAGCTTAAATATTTAATTTTAGTGATTACCCATGTAGATATAATTTATTTTTCATTCATTTATAGTCTTTTAACTCTGCGACCTACTGACGAAGAAACATGAAATTTGGTGACGGAGAAGAACCATATTGAATATGTTTACATCTAATAAACCATAATTCAATGTGAAAATGGTAAATATAAATATATTCTAGCTTAATTATTTATTTTAATTATTACCTATTTTATAAAAAAAATATATATGTCATGGATTATAGTCTTATAACTTTGTTTTATAGTAGAGAAAAATCTAAAATTTTGTTGTGGAGTAGAAAAATAACATATAATTGATTTTTTCATCTACTATAGTCTATTGTAATTTATGCTTAGTGATAAAAAAAACCTAAAACTTTAGGATGGTGAAGAGAAATATTGAATATTTTTAGATGTAATATACCATAAGTCAATGTGAATACGATGAATATAAACAATATTGAGCTTGATTATTTAATTTTAATTGTTATGCATACGTACAAATTATGGATTATTCATTTGCAGTCTCTTAACTTAGTTTCTTTGATGTTAATATGTTTTTAAACTATAAATTATAATGCATACGTATAAATTATGGGTCATGCATACGTATAAAAATATATAATATGTTTTTTAAACTAACTTTAAAATTTTATATACAATAAAGTATATAAACAATATTGTTTGTTTTTCCCTAGTTTTTCATATTAGCCTCTTCCTTGCAACTTTGAATACCGTACCTATGTCGGGACTTAGGAGTGGTATCCTGATTGATGTCTCTCCCCTCTTGATTTGTCTGTCAGTCCACCATGTTGATGATAAGCCCCTTGCTTTTGTTTCCTATAAGATGAGTATTATTTTTGTTTCCCTTTATTTCTTGTCTAACATCTCCTATACAATCCATCTAGGGTCTAACTTGGTTGTTTCTCTCAGGTTGGACTTCCTGATTACCCTCTGGGTTGGTTGTGTTGATCCTATAGTTTATCCTGTTGTAATTAGGGTCCTTTGTATCCCTCTTATCGACCTCCATGTGAGTATTGTTTCTCTGCATATTATTTCTTTTTTGCCTTGAGTTTGTTTGTATTCTGATGTCTGTGACCCTTATCCCTTTGGCAACTCGTCTTTATATTGTTAGAGATGTCCTGGTGGTGATTGGTGAGGCTATTCTGGTACTCGTTCTGGCTTCTTCGTGCACTAGTGACAACTTCTATGACATGTACATTTCTATTTTCGAATATAGCTTGAATTTCCGCACTCCATATACTGTCTAATATGTGAATAAACATTTCAATATAAACATTTGTCATTTTTCCAAAGTTATTTATGAACAACTCTTCTATACATACACACAATTGAACTACACATAATTATTTTTCGATTGGGTGACCATCTAGATTAGGATTGATAATGTCCAATTAGGTTTGGTCTAACTGATAATATTGGGTTGAGGGCTTTTGTGTTTCAAATAAGAAAACCAAGGTGGGACTTTCCTTTAAGATCAGGTTGATTTGAAGATTTTGGATAAGATCACGTCAACATAGATTCGATCGAGTGAAAGCATCGGGATAAGGTGGTTTCCTTGCAAAGGAGTAGCGTGAGACGGTAAATTGTGTTTGGGAATCTCGGGCTTCAACAACTTGCATGCTCAGTGTAACACCCCGCTCCCCAAAAATACAAAATAAACGCAATTAAATTAAACAAATATCAGAGTCACCACATTCACAACGGGATGTCACAGAAGAAACTCCTCCAAACATTTTCATTAAATGATTTCCAATAATTAAACAGCGGAAGTTTATCATATAGACACATGTACATATATTCACATCATATACATAAACATCATATACACCATGTACGGCCAACGCCCAAAATATACAAGATATATTCACCCAAAAGATTCATCAAACATGATACGCCACAGGGGCACACAAAATCATCAGATAAACAAACAACTCCCCAAAACCCCGGTGTTACGTATCAGAGCATCCCTACGACACGACTCGCCAGAATCCAAGCTATCTACGCACCTGGATTATTTGTACTTCCGAAGAAGCACATACCACAACAAAAACAAAGGGGTGACAAATCACGATCAAAATATAACGGTAATAACGTACATGAATAAAAGGCAGTAGATCACACAATTATCATTTCACATACGTCAACCCGGACCTACTGTCCCACACAAACATAGCATATAAAACAATGCAACTCAACCCATGATATGCGGTACCGACTCAACAACAACACCGATGGGCACCTGGCCATCACCCTTTCCCGAAGGAACATATCATCATCACCGATGGGCACCAAGCCATCACCCTCCACACAGGAGCACATTATAAACAGGATAGATCACTTACGCTCCCCTGAGACAGGATATATCCCTCACAATCACCAATGGGCACCTCGCCATCACCCTTATACAAGAGCGCATTATCGCTACCGATGGACACCAGGCCGTCACCCTCCACACAGGAGCACATCATAACACCATGATATGCATAACCCCAATGCACAACACACAACATCAAATACACTAAGGGTACACGACCCATCCGATCATATTTCATCACACATCATATATATATATATATATATATATATATATATATATATATATATATATATATATATATATATATATATATATATATATATATATATATATATATATATATATATATATATATATATATGCTCGCTGGCTCACTCGCTAGGCGAAGCATTAGCGAATGCTAGCTACTTGCTTGCTCAGCGAACTCCCTAGAGAAGCCAGACATTGGCTACTGGAAGCACTTGCTACTCAGTTTTCCCAGCGAATCCCTGGCGAAGGTTCGTTACTTGCTCGCTCAGCGAAGCAGCTGGCGAACGTCTGCGAATTCAGAAAAAAATAATATTGCTTAGAGTCGACAAAACACTCTGAACTCAGCTGATTCTACTTAAACCAGTCCCCATCATATCAGACCAATATTCTACAACCTAACTACCACATCTATCCTCGATTTAACCAGATTAAATGTCAGCTCTACATTTAATCAGTTCCGACATAAAACTTTGAACTACCCAGAAACCCCCATATCGAGCAAACAACACATGCAATGGGTTCAACATATCAGCATCAAACTCAGAATCACAACATCATATAAAACATAATCATCACACCTATGGGATTAAGGGAAATCCCCTTTCTACCTAGTATTCATGCAACATACCAATTTTAACCGATTCTCTCCTCCCCCCTTACCTCGATACTTGAACAATCTGATGAACTCTTGCTCCCCAAGATGATTCCTAGTTTCCTCTTGCTCCAAATTTCACCTTGCTCTTCTTCTTCCAAATTCCTCTTCTTCTTGATCGTGTTTCTCTCTTCTTCTATTTCCTCTTTTAATTCTTTCTTTTTCCCAAACAGCCCCTCATTCCAATTTCTATTATTCCATTTCCTTTTTATTTTATTACATAGTAATAATATTATTATTAATAATAATAATAATATTAACAATAATAATAGTATTAATAGTAATAATACTAATAATATTACTATTACTTATTTAATTATCATTACCACTAATAATTTTATTATTAGTCTTAAAGTCCAAAATTATTAATTAATCTCCAACTTAAGGGCTACACACAATCGCACTCAAACACCCCCACAAAACACGCCGATAAGTAAAATAACACCGGAAAAACTCAAATAATTAAAATAGGCGTTACACTCAAGATAATCGGAGGATTGTAGCCACATTATTGGTCACTTGATTAAGCTTTAATCAAGGGTTGGAGGTGGAAGAATCAGCAAAAACAATAGGGTTTTTGAGGTTTGCATTCTTCATCTCTTGTATAAACATTTTTGCAAAGAAAAAGTTAATAGCACTATCTCAATTCAATTTCGAGTTGAGGGCAGACGTACCCATAGCGAGGCCAATTAGGGAACTGCATAAACAAATCTTGGTCTCTCTCTTTTATCTATTTATCTCTCTATTGTTGATTATATAATTTATCAATTTATTTGTGGTTTGATCAATTCGATTGGAAATTGTTTTCTACTATCTTTTAAAGGTGTTGTTGTTGATATAATCATAATCGCTTTGATTATGATAGGTTTTAACATCAACAAAACAAACTATATTTACAATTGTTATTGATCACACATCAAGTGTTCGATAAATTGTTTGTGTGTATTTTGTTTGTGCTTTGGTTCATTGGATATACGAGTTACGATTAGCATTGCATTTAACTAATTCGTAGCTTGAATGTTGTTGAACATTTATGTTCACTATCACTCCATTTGATTTGCGATACATATATTGTTTTTTGATAGTAGGTTCGGTTAGACGATTCGATCCGGGTCGTTTTTCCGCTGCACCATATTTTTGAAAATAGAT